AAGGATGGCAAACAAGGTTGACTCCGAGCATGCCGACCACAAGCACCACGCACAGCCCAGGCTGGTACGGGCCCATAGCAGCCTGGGCCCCAGCCGGCCACGGAGCCCCCTGGCCTGTGACACCCACTCCCTTCATTCAGCCAAGTCTTCCTTCAGCCTCCTGGCACCCATCCGCACCAAGGACGTCCGGAGCAGGTAAGGCTGCTGGGAGGGCAGTCTCGCCATGGCCTGTTTTGGTGCTGGGGAGCAGGCTGTGCAAGCATTCTCTTAAAGAATACCTCACGTGCAGGCAGAGAAGAGGGCAGGTCTCCCTTCAGCAGCCATCTCCCATGTGACGCCAGGTATGCGTCCTAGACACGCTGCCCCTCTGCCTCTGGGCCTCTCTTCCAGGACTTTTCCTGCCTGATCACTGCACTGAGGCAGGGTGCTCTTGTAAAAGATGGCACCCCCATGCTCCATGCGTATGCTGGCTGGCTTGCATTTTGTGCTGGTGGTCCTCCAAGTGGAAGGTGGCCTCCTTCTGTTCTGCCTTGAGTGTTTTTCTGTTTAACCGCTGTGTGTGAGGGACATTGAGCAGCCATAGGCTGCCTGCAGTCCCCTGCCCTCAGGGGCTCTGGGCACAGGCTGGCATTTCAGCAGGACAGTTAGCAGGACCCACAGGCTGCAGGCAAGAAAAGGCTCTGCCTCCCAGGGGAGTGGCAGCCTGGTGATGCCTGAAACCACAGGGACTTCTGTGCTCTGCTTCAAGACCTGCTCAGCGCTTGTGCTCCAGACCTGCTCTGTCCCCACAGCTGAGTGGAGATGTCACACCCTGGAGGAGGCATAGGCCCTTGGTTCCTGTGTGTGGCTCTCTGTGATGTTACATAGAGTTTCGTAGCTTGAAAAGAGGCTAGTGCCACCCCAATGTCACTCCTGTCTGCCTGACTCCTATCATAACCCTAACCAAGGGCCCACAGACGACTTGGGCTCAGCCTGTCAAAACCCATGGCCTCCTCTCCTGAGCCTGGTCTTGTCCTAGGACCTGGGTCTTGTCCTAGGAGGGCTGCCTGCCCTCAGTGTTCCAATGCCATGCTGCTGGAGCACTGGGGCGGAGGGACTGTGAGCAGGCAGAGCAGGAAGTGCTTCCTGCAGGGTTCCCAGTTCTGGAGCATAAGTCCAGAACAAGGTCCCTTTGAAGGGACCCCTTCTTTCCAGGGCTCCCAGGGCCTCAGGGGCAGCTGGCTGATGGCTGCCTCCCTCCAATCTACCTGTGTCTTCAGGTGGCCACTTAAGGACATCAAGTCCAGGGCCCACCCTAAATACAGTTTGAGAGGGGGCAAGGGCGAAGTGCAGCTAGGGCACAGTGGTGGATTGGGAACCTGGGGTGTGAGGAAGCGGCCAGTGGCATGGCTATCCCAGCCCCAGGAAGAAGCACACTCCAACCCCACCCTCCCCCATCTCAGGCCCACTGCTCGCCTGGGGTTTGTCTCTAGCAGGATCAGAGAGGATGAAGATGAGGGGAAAGTGGCCTCAGAAGAGGCAGGCCATGCCCTTGAAGAGCGTGAGAAGCCTGCAGTGTCCATGAACAAGGGCTCTGAAGAGTCCACCTTTGCTAGTGCTGAAGCTCCATAGGCACCAGGGGTGCCAAGGCCCCAGGAGCTGAACCAGCTTTTGTGTCCTGGTGTCTCTGGGGCTGGCATGGCAGACTTGGAGCCTGCTGGGTGGGAAGGAAGTTAAGTCATGGGATTACAGGGATGTGAGAGGCAGAGCAGTCAGATGCAGGGTGGATGCAGCCTGGAAACTGATTGGAAACAGCATGGCTGGCCCTGGCCTGGGCAGGCCAGACGGTTGAGCAGGTCAGGCCTCGGCAGAAATGGTAGAGCAGGCACAGCCTCCCTGTCCATGGAGATGGGCCCTCCAGATTGTGTAGAAGAGTGGCCTGTGATTAAGGGGACAGTAGCAGGGACCAGGTAGAGAGGAACTGGATTCTCGCCTCCCATTGTGAAAGACATGTCCAGATACTTTGTGGAGGGACACGTGTGTGTCTAGCCACTGCCTGTCCTACCGGTAGCAGGCAGAGACCAGATTACATATCTAAATGGCTAGAAGAAAATCAGAACTTGCAATACTTCACAGTGATGCCCATCCCCTGACGTCCAGGTTCCATTTCTGTGTGATGGTTTTCAAGGTACGTGTGGCCCTTGAGACTTTTGCACCATGGTGGCAGAGCCAGCGACTGTGACTGACAGGTGGTCCACAGAGCTGCACATGCCTGGTGTCTTTACAGGCAGTGTTGCAGACCCTGTGGCAGGAGAGGCAAGGGGCGCCTGCAGTAGGGTCAGCGGCTTGCCGCTATTTCCTGTGGTCCCGCGGCATTGTGGTGTGCTACGTGGCATTGTGGTGTGTTACGACGTCCATCCCGTTGCAGTTGGGTGGTTGAGATGGGCTCCTCTGCCTTCCTATCCTAACCCGTCCCACTGTGTTGACCTGGGGAGGAGTGGAGAGCCAGGCCCCTCCCTGAAATACACTATGTCCACCCAACCAACCCTATTCTCAGCACAGAGTTTGGCTTTGCTTCTGTGACCTCCCAGAACCTTACCTACCAAAACAGCCCAAAGTGATGTCCCCATCCTCAAGGAGGGAGCTGTGTGGCTAGCAGCAGGCACAGCTCACTCTATCGGAGCAGGCAGGTTCTCATGCGTGCTCTGGCTCAGGGAACCCGGACTCAAGGGGAGATGGTGCCAACATTCTGTGGGGCTCAGTGTTGCCCCTCTGGGCCCAAGCAGCCCTGCTGCTGGCCTCAAGTCTCGGGGACTGGGAGCCCAGAGAGCATGTCCCTACGGTCACTTCTCCTGGCTACGCACTGAAACATTCTGCCTCTTCTCTGCAGGAGCTACCTGGAGGGGAGTCTCCTGGCCAGTGGGGCCCTGCTAGGGGCAGATGAGCTGACCCAGTACTTCCCAGACCGGAACATGGCCCTCTTTGTGGCCACCTGGAACATGCAGGGCCAGAAGG